AGAATTCTATCATTTCATGGTCGCTAAGCCCAAGACGGCCTCTGACCACCACATCTCCCACCAGTCCTTCTCTGTTAGTAAACAGCAGGTCAAGCGAGGCACCTCCCCTGGCAGGCTCACTTACCAGCTGTGTCAGGAAGTTGTCTTCCACACACTCCAGGAGATCTCCTCCTCAACTGTTCCATATCTAATCCTTCCCAGTTTTACCAAAATTAATTCTTTCCTATTTTTTAGTCTTCTGCAAACCTGTTTTACTCTTGAAAAAGAGATAGAGGTACACATGTGAATGTACATATGCATTTTTTTAATATATCTACGCATTTATACACACACAGTCTAAATACAGTGATGAACAGCTGGCTTTGGTTAGGAAAGAATAAATAAAACTGCTGGAAACCCAGATGTTTCAAGCCTGATCTAGAGCTGGGTCACTGCTGCTTGCTCAGAACATCATTCACAGGCCACTGCTTTAACAGTCTACATTGCAACTCCATCTTAAAACCCAGTGTTTTTAGACCTGTTTGAACATAGAAGTGCCACGAGTTCTGCAACAGAAGACAGATGATAAAGTCTGAGACAAAAGCAGTTGCTGCTACCAACATAAAGACACCACCCCACCCCCCCCAAATAAAACTGCCTCTTGTCTCAAGCCCTCACTGAGGAACAGTAACTCAGCATGGCAGCTCCTGACCAAAAAAAAAAAAAAAAAAAGGATCCTGTTGCTTCTCCTGCCTAGTTCCTCCATAAAAAAACCCTTAGCTATGCCACTCCATTCCTCAAAGCCTGCTTCAGACACCTCCTGAACACAGTCCTTGCTCTGCTCCCAGCATCTCCTCCATATGTTCTTGGGAAAAATGTACCCGCAGGAAGTGTGTTCTCTCAGAAGGCTGCTACGCAAATAATTCTCAAAACTGGGAAGACCATAGATAGGCACAAGAAAAGAAGTCTGAGGACCTCTGCATTCTGATGCAAGCAACACCAGGTAATCTTACTCTGTTCTGTACAACAGCTGAGCAGTCAGACTTACACCCAGATCTAAATGAGAATTACTACTAAATTAACACAGAGACCCCTGAGTTACTACCTGAAAGCATTTTCTTTCCATCAGCTCCTTTTTGCATTCTACATAATAAACTACTACTGCAGCGGCAGGAGGTAAATAAGTATTAAAAAAAATCATTCTCTTTCCATTTTTTAATATAAAATTATTGAATATCAAAAGGAATTTGGAAGAAAAACCACAATCTGTTGACTATGTTATTATTTAAGCTAAAGAACAACTTCTAGATAGACAACAATGAAAAGTAAGACCTCATCTGCAAAAGAAGGCAATGACTAAGATTACATGGGGAAAGAGGTGTTAAAGAGCTGAGTGGCCATATTGCTAGGGATGAATGGATACGGTACTCTCGAATGGTTTGAAATTACTGAGAAATGAGAATGACAAGTCATGATCTGTAGTGCATCCCTGTACTCTGACTCGCTCAGACAATTCCGTGTCAGGACTAAGTGATAACATCCTTGCTTTTGTCTTGTGAAATAACAAACATATTTTTGAAGCAGTTCAGAACTTGAAATCCTCAAGGCATTTGTTTCAGAGAAAAAAAAAAGCATAATGCTTTTCATTTTTGCTCTAGGTGAAACCCACCCCGGCTACAGAAAACTAAATCAAAAAATAAGTGATTGCAGGCACACAAAGAAACACTACAGATATTTTTTCAATAAAAAAAATTCAGCCTTAAGCATCCTAGTGGCTGCAGCAAGCAAGGACATAACAAAGATAGAAACACTTTCAATTGATCTGTTGAATCAGAAAAATGTATGAAGATGGAGACATGTTTTGATGTTATCAAATAGTATTGTTCTATACTCAAGTTCACTGGAGTCACTGCTGTCACAAGACTTCTTCCTAGTGATCATCTGTCTTGTACTTTGGGTCACAGGTATGGTAAACCTTCTTCATTTAATTGCAGAAACAAAACACCACAAAACACCCTCCAAAATTCATTTACACTTCTGAAGACCAGAAACATTTTCTAGAAGTGGTCTTAAACATGATGAAGTAAACCCCAAACTTAAAGAAATTCAGAATACAGTTTTTAACATTCAAATAAAATGCAGGTGTTTCTGTTAATGAATCTGGAGATTCCCCCCTTAAAAATTCTAAATGCTTGCACTTCGCAATAAGATAGTTCTGTAGACTGGTGATCAATATAAAGTTCTATCAAATCAGAATAGAAATTTATATAACAACTTTATAAGGTATAAAATGGCTACATTATACACACTGTGGCAAACAAAGCCTTTCATTTTTCATTTGTTCTATAACCCATATAGTACAAGTCAAGTCAAATTTATGTCGTTTAATGTATACCTCCTATTCATAAAACATTTTAATTGGCTTTACATGGATGTTAACAGTTCCCCACCGAATTCCCTGCACTGATCTGTATTAATCAAGATGAATACCAAACAC